AAAAAAAAAACTAATGTAGGGCAACCGACCTATGATGAAACAGTGTATTTTTCTTGTATGACGGACCTATGAGGAAACATACTTTTTTAAACCGATGGGAGTGCTTTAAACTCAAAAAGATGATATTTTGATCCTATTGCCTGTATAAAACAATCAAGAGCCCAAAATTGATCATTCATTCATTCTATCACGACCTTTGAGTTACCACGAGTTATTACGAGTTACTACGAGTCTCTTCAAATTTCTCCTACAATGGCTTCTGCGCAGATTGTCAACTGTATTGTTTGCAACGAAACTGTTCGTCCAAGGCAGCAGGGCATCCAATGTGACGGATGTTTGCGTTGGAATCATCGAACATGCACGAACCTACGAAGACTCCACCCTTTGCGAACCAGAACCCAATGAGCCACCCCTTCGATCAGATGAGCCATCCCTAGTCGACCCGAATCCTGCTGACACCAGTTCCAACTTCAGCTTCAGCAACGTTACCTACGAAATAATGGAGCAGTGTTCGAAGCAGGGACGTCCCAAGCTGATCAATACCCAGGGCTACACTTACAACCAACACAGACAGAGAGGGATGATAGAGAGCGATGATTTGATAATGTCAGGATATCTTGTTTTTATTGTTTTATTGTGAAGCGAACAGATGAAAATTCATATCATTTGAGCTACAGAAAAATTGAATCAAATGAAATTTCATTTGTTCACTTCACTGTATGAATTGTTCGTATTATTTCTGCTTCTACCCAAGGTATTAAAGGCTGTCCTTCATTTGCTGCCTGCTCAACCTACCCTAGCAAAAGTAACAATCGACTTTGAGAAGGCGATCTGGACGGTACCTTATATGATGACAAATTGGAAGAATGCTATTAGGGCTAAGAGGAGGGCATTAGCAACCTATCAAAATGACAAATCTGATTCCAACTGGGATGCACTGCATATATGGCGTAATGAAGCCACGCGACAAAGGAGAATAGCAATCAAGTCTTATTGGAAGAGTAAATCTGACCATCTGAAGGAAAAGCCAGCAGACTTTTACAGAACTTTTATGCCATTTCTAGGCTCGAATGCCCGGGCAAGAAGCACCGAGTTTAATATCAAAGTTGGAAATGAAATTGTCAAGAATCCAGACAAGGTAGCTGAAACCCTAGCCAATTTATTTTGCTTCAATTGCAGGGGCATCGGTGGAGATAATATTGAAAATTTAACAGAAAGTGATTTCAACAACCATCCAAGTGTCTTAAAAATAGCACAGTGCTCGACTCAACGGGATGCTATAAAACTAAACCCCCTTCACAAAGTGCAAGTTCAAGAAGCAATGGAGTCCTTAAAAGTCAAGAAAGCATCTGGCTGTGACTCCATTCCTCCATTTGCTTTAAAAGTTGGCGCAGAGGCAATTGCTATCCCTCTCACTACGTTATTTAACAGATGCATAATGGAGAGTAAATGGCCACAGTCATGGAAAAAGGGGGAATGGGTTCCAGTCTTTAAAAGTGATGACCCCCTACTAAAGGAGAACTATAGACCTGTCACTGTTCTCCCAGCTGCAGATAAGGTCTTTGAGCAGATTGTAGCTAAGCAAC